ACAATGTATCTCATATGTAATTGATACAACATTTACTATGAAACTACAAATACCATATACACAGATGGATAAGCAAAACTTGAATGATACATTATTGATAGTAGATTAAAACACCTATAGAAACAACCATTACAACTTCCCAATTCCTGATTGGTAACATGAATCCTCTATATTCGTTCCACTTCTATTATGTAAATGTTGGATGAACTCTTTTTATGTATTAGAATGTCTTACACTAATGACACCTAGTGCATCCGGGAGCAGGCGGAGGATGCAGAAATGTTAACAACCAAATATTTCTAGAGCTTTCCCAGTGTGGTTGCTTTAACATAATTTACAATGTTTCAAACTTCCTTTAACCTCTCAGCTCTGTTGTACAATAGTTTCAATTTTTTGTTGGAATTAATGCATCAATGTTTAGTCTTTCGAAATTGTCTCTAAGTTTTTCAAGAAATATTTTTAGAATTTCGTAATACATGTATCTAGTAAATTATGATACATGTATTTAACTATTTTTGCAAGACCTTTCATTTACATTATTACTAGTATAAATAGAGATGTTGTTGATGATTGTAATCATCTTAAGTGGTCTTAAGTAGCCTATATAAAACTTGAGCATTCCCTAAAGATAGTATTCTCCTTCCGTATTTCCTACAAATTGGTATCAACAGCGGGTTTCATTCTCAATCTGGGGTTAGGTGAAGAAAAAATATGGCATCCAAAACAAATGAAGGGCTTGATTCTTCAATTGTTCTTACTCCATTTTTTATGGAACTAATTTTGAATACTAGAAAATAAGAATGAAAACACATTTGAAAGCTGAAGGTTTGTAAACTATTGTTGCAAATGTCTTTGAAGAGGCATCAACAATGGTGAACTTACAACAACAAAGATGAAAAATCTTGAGGCTAAGTATCGTCAAGATGCAAAAGTCTTGAGCAAAATCTAAATGGGAGTCTCAAGAGCATATTTTGTAAAAATTGCTACTTGTGAGACTGCAAAGGAAGCTTGAGATTCTCTGAAAACTGAGGTGTATGGTGACGAAATGGACGCACTATAAATCTTCAAACTCTTAGAAGAAAGTTTTAAAATTTGAAAATGATAGAATCTGAAAAAATAGATGAATATTTCATAAGAGTCATGAATATTTTTAATGAAATGAGAAATAACGGTGATACAATTTCTGACCAACAAGTTGTGGAAAAGATTCTAATTAGTGTTGCTGAAAAATATGAGTACATTATTTCTATCACCGATGAGACGAAATATCCTTCAAAGCTTTCCATCAAAGAGCTAGTTGGATCTTTTCGCGCACACGAGAAACGAAGATTTTTTCTTGAAGATCAACCCAAAGAGACAGCTTTCCAGTCCCAAACAAATGAGAATTCTCAAAAATTCTCAAAAGATCAACAATAGAAGAATTACAATCCAAAAAAAAAGCAGGATCATGATGGTTCTTCCAAGAAAGATTATGAAAAAGGTGAGAAAAACTCTAGTCTTTTTTGTAAAGTTAGCAAAAAGACTAATCACATTGTAACTTTTGTAAAAAGTTTGGCCACATTGAGAAAGATTGTTGGCAAAAGAAGAGGGAGCAAGCAAATTTTTGTTAAAAAACAGGAGGAAGAAAGGGAAGAGAATCTTTTTTTTTTGCTTCCAAATATGATGTTTCAACAAAAACCAAGGAATGGTATGTTGATAGTGATTGTAATAATCATATGACAGGAGATGAAAAGGTTTTCCTCCCAATAAATAATAACATCACTAGTAGAGTGAGAATGGGGAATGAAGTCTTAGTTGATGCAAAAGGTAAAGGTACCATTTAGATCAACATGAAAGGGAGCAATAAGCAAATACATGATGTTCTTTATGTTTCCGACTTGGAAGAAAATTTTGCTTAGTGTTGGTCAACTCATGGAAAATAATTATTCTCTTGTATTTAGAGACAATTATTGCAGGATTTAAGATAAAGTTGATAAAATTTAATCATTGTTGATGTAAAGATAATAAAAAGAAATTTTCCTTTGCAATTTTATTACAATGCATTAAAAAAATGAAATTGTAAATAATTCATGTGGCACAAAAGATTTTGTCATTTGAATTTTCATGGTTTGAAGCTTCCCAAGCAAAAGGACATGGTATAAGGCCTTCCTGAGATATATACTGAGGTGGATCTATGTGAAAGTTTTATAAAGGAAATGCAACATAGAAAGTCATTTCAAAAGTGGTGTATTGGAGAGAAAGTGTATTTTGGAAACTAATCCATACCGACATGTTGTGGACCAATGAAGACTCTATCTCTTGGAAGTAGAGGTACTTTCTAATCTTTATTGATGATTTCTCAAGAATGACTTAGGTTTATTTCTTGAAAGAAAAGTCAGAAGCATTTCTTATATTCAAGAAATTTAAAGCCCTTGTTGAGAAGCAAAAAAGTTTCAGCATCAAAACCATTCACAGTGATAGAGGAGGTGAATACACAAGTTGAGAATTTGAAGAACATTGCAAAAGTGAAGGCAATCAGAAGCAACTTACAGAAGAGTACACCCCTCAATAAAATGTTGTATCTGAAAGAAGAAATAAAACAATTGTTGAAATGGCTAGAATTATGATGAATGAGAAAGGGATGCCAAAATATTTTTGGGCCGAAGCAGTGCATACGACAGTGTACATCCTTAACAGGTGCCCGACAAAGGCACTAAAGAAAAAGAAACCACTTGAAGCTTGTAGTGGAATAAAACCTTCTGTAAGTTCTTTTAAAATTTACGGGTGTATTGTTATGCTCATGTACCTGCTGAGAAAAGAATAAAATTGGGTCAAAAATGTATATTTCTTGGTTATAGTGATGTGACAAAAGGATATAGGCTTCTCGATGTCAAAATAAACAAACTTGTTGTTAGTAGAGATGTCATTTTTTTATGAAAAAAACATGGAAATGGAAGGATTAAAAGATACAGAATACTGCTATCATATCTTTAAATCAAAAAGAGGATGAGAAAGAGGGAGACGTCCATCAAGGGTGAGAAATCACAGATTTTGATGATGAAGAACTGCCTCCAAGAGGAACAAAAATGTTAAGTGACGTTTATCAGAGATGTAACTTTGCCGGTGTCAGAGCCAATATTTTTTGAAGAAGCAATAATGTATGACGATTGGAAGAAAAAATTTGGATGATTGAAAATAATAATGCTTGGAGCTTATGGCTATACCTAGAGAAAGAGAAGTTTTAAGTCTAAAATGGATTTACAAAATCAAACTAAGTCATGAAGGAGATATTCAAAAGCACAAAACAAGGTTGGTTGCTAGAGACTTCATGCAAAAACCAGGTATTGATTTTTATGTAACTTTCTCTCCAGTTGCTCATGTTGAGACAATAAGAACCGTAAATGTTGTTGTTTCACATATTTTAACTTGATGTTAAATCTGCATTTCTTAATAGAAAACTTGATGAAGAGATTTATGTAGAGCAACCTCAAGAATTTTTTTTTAAGGAGAGAGAAGAGAAGGTGTACATTCTAAAAAAAGCTCTTTACGGGCTGAAGCAAGCTCTAAGAATATGGTACAATAAAATTGATACATACTTTCTGAAAAATAATTTTTAGAGAAGTACAAGTGAAGCCATTTTGTATGTGAAGAAAGAACATGGCAGCATTATCATTGTTTGTCTCTATGTGGATGATTTGCTCTTTACAGAAAATGATGTGACGATGATGCAACAATTCAAGCAAGATATGATGCATATAAATAAAATGAGTGATCTTGGGTTGCTAAATTATTTCTTGGGCATCGTTGTTTCTCAAGTGAAAGAAGGAATTTTTATTTCTGAAAAGAAGTATACTAAAATGATTCTTTGAAAATCCAAAATGATGGATTATAGATCTGTGGCCATACCATGAGCAGCAAATCAGGAGTTCAGAAAAGATGATGGAGAAAAGAAAGCTAATATCTCACTTTATAGGAGCTTGATTGGAAGTTAGATATATCTTACTTCAACAAGGCTAGACATTATGTTTGCTGCAACTTTATCATCCAGAATTCATGCAAGAACCAAACCAAAGGCATTGTGGCGTGTTCTACGCTACTTGGAAGGAACAATTGATTATGGGATAATGTACAAATTTGGTGGAGATTTGAACTTAATTGGTTATTCTAATAGTGATTGAGCTGGAATTATAGATGACATGAAAAGAACTTCTAGTTATGCTTTCTTATTTGGATCAAGTATTTGTTCTTTATTATAAAAAAAAAAAGTATTGTTTCTCAATCCACTGCCGAAGTAGAATATTTTTCAGCAGTTAAGGCTACTTCTCAAGCTATTTGGCTTAGGAGAATAAAGATAGATTGTTCTGTATTGTAATAACAAATCAACAATTGCAATTGCCAAGAATCCAGTTAGCAATAAAAGATCAAATGATATTTACATCAAGTAACATTTTATCCGGGAAGCACAAGAGAAAGGTGAAATTCAGTTGCATTATTGTTAGACATGAGAACAACTTGCTGACATCTTTACAAAAGCACTTCCAAGAAATTTTTTTGCTATCTTTGAGAAAGCATTAGAGTTATCAAGCAAATGCATTAAGGGGGAATGTTGGAATTAATGCATCAATGTTTAGTCTTCTGAAATTGTCTCTTAGTTTTTCAAGAAGTCTTTTTTAGAATTTCGTAATACATGTATCTAATAAATTGTGATTCATGTATTTAGTTATTTGTGCAAGACCTTGATTTACATTATTACTAGTATAAATAGAGATGTAGTTGGTGATTATAATCATCTCAAGTAGCCTATATAAAACTTGAGCATTCTCTAAAGATAATATTCTCATTTCATATTTCCTACGGTTTTATTAGCAATGCATATTCTCTTTGCAACTTAACATCTGTAGGAAAGGTAAATGTGAACTCTAGTTGGTTGATTCTTTTCTGTCATCTCCCTATGACACAGACATGTAATAGCAACTACACGATCATTCAGATAATAAATATCATCCTTTATGTGTTAGATGTTGATGAAAGCAATATTGCTTCGGTTGTCCAAAATTAATGTTTCAAATATAAGTTCTCACTTTGAAAACAGAACTAGTCCATTTTTCTATCAACATAAGTACAAAGTTTTAATTGGTAGAGAACAAATGATAGTACATCTGTTTGCTTAAAAGCCTACAAAAAGGTCCAAAAACTGAATAATCATTGGAAACAACAATTATTTCTTCTTCTGTAATACCTTTACCTTCACTCTTCTTTCTCCTTCCCATGATAATTTTTTGCTCCAACTCTAGAATGATTCTTGCAAGCCATATCGGTTTTTCCAGTTGAAATCATGAAATATACCATGATATTTCAATACATAGTCCATTTCCGTAGCCCATAAAAGCAGCTTTCCAAAAATCACTCATAAATTCAGAATTGTTTTCTTCATCATCTAGCTGTTCAGATACAACATAATATGTCCCTGATATACGATGATCACCACAACTTTTTGTAACGGGAAATCCACGTAATCCATCATTCCCTTCATATGAATTGTTCTCAAAGGTCTGAAATTGATTTCCTTGAGGAATGCACCCTTTGTTAGGACCAGAAATAAGCAGGTGTAGATGCGGAAGCTAGCAATGCAAACATCGAAAGACCATGAGTAAGAAGACAACGAGAAATATACCAATAGACACAAAGACTTAACGTGGTTCGGTCAATGGGGCCGCCTTTGAAAAAAAAGGAACTCGCTAGGCCTTCAGAACAAAGTATCGACCTACATCCACAAAGGAGATGAGCAATTCACTATAAATATGAGAGTACAAAATACAGAGGGAAACAAACTCAACCAAATTCACTCAGAATAAATGGGAGGTTCACACAAGTGATAACGTATCAAGCTTGTGACCCATAAATTCTACCCCTAACCAAAACTCTCAAAGCCTTTAAGAATACATTGTAAATGATGATTAAGTTAGAAAGAACATGTCTCTATATATAGAGTCCTAAACATTTTCCTACTAAAAAAAGGATTATCAATCCAAAACATTTTCCTAAAAGGAAAACCTATTTATGGTAAGAAATCAGGGCAAATAAAACCCAACAAATCTTCCTCTTGGGCTGATTTTCTGACAAAATAAATTTGTCCACCTTCATCACCTAATCTTAAACAACTTCCTTATCCACTCCATATTCTCCTTTGCAAAATTTATGTCTCAACACAGAGAGCCTCTCTGAAACAATTTCTCCAATAAAATCTTCATTACTGTAAGAAAAGATCGCGGCTAGAACTACAGCCGCAAAGAGGAACACCTCTTTCTAACTTTGGTTCAATCATCAATAATCGAACTACTAAACCTAACTCGATCATTGAATCTGTCTCTGATACCACTTGTTAAAACCGAAAATAAGCAGGTGTAAATGTGGAACCTAGTAATGAGAACCTCGAACGACCATGAGTAAGAAGACAACGAGAAATATACCAAAAGACACAAATATTTAACGTGGTTCGATCAATCGACCTACGTCCACAAAGGAGATGATTAATTCACTATGAATATGGGATCACAAAATACAGAGGGAAACAACCTCAACAAAATTCACTCAGAATACATGGAAGGTTAACACAAGCGATAACGTATCAAGCTTGTGACCCATAAATTCTTCCCTAACCAAAACTATCAAAGCCTTTAAGACTACATTGTGAATGTTGATAAAGTTAGAAGGAACATGTCTCTATTTATAGAGTCCTAAACATTTTCCTACTAGAAAAAGGATTAGTCAATCCAAAAACCTTTTTCTCAAAGGAAAACCTATTTATGGTAAGAAATCAGGGCAAATAAAACCCAACACCTTTCGAGATGATTGTAGGAAATATTGAAGATTTCAAGATATGTAAGAGAAGCAAATTGTGCTGGTATATCTCCTACAAAATGGTTACTTAACAGATCCAATAATTCAACCGAGCATAAACTTCCAAGTGATGATGGTATTTGACCTTCCAATCTATTATGAGATATTTTGAACGCACGGAGTGCAATAAGATCTCCCATAATTATTGGAATGTGTCCTTCGAATTTGTTAATTGGAAGATCGATAGTGGTGTACAAGAACAAGATTCTCGTTTTCACGCTCAAATCCCTTGGATACGACAACTATCAAGTCTTGGGAATATCGCTCTCCTTCACGACTTGGTGCATTCATCGTTTTATCAATTGTTCTCATGGCTTTCAAATGTTGAAATAGACTTGTTAGTAAGCTTTTTGTGAAGGCATTGGAGGAGAGAACTAATATTCTAAGCCGAGAAAACAAGTTTTGAGTCGTTAGAGATCTAATGGACCCATGCAATTTATTGGATCTCAAGCTTAAAATTTTCAGCTTTGGCAGAGTCCCCAACCACACGGAGAATGTGTCGTTGAGGTGATTTTCTCCTAAATCAAGAACTTCCACTTGTTTGCAATTGGTCAAGGACTGTGGGATTTTTCCCTCAAACTTATTGCCATGAAAGTTGAGGCTGCTCAGTGAACTTCCATTGCTGAAAGTCGTTGGAATATTCCAAGAAAAATTGTTGTGGCTCATATCCAAAACCTGGAGGGCAGTGATATTTCCCAAACATTGTGGAATTTGTCCACACAAATTGTTTCTGGACAAATCTAACATTACCAGTGATGTCAAATTGCAAATAGATGACGAAATTTCTTCAGTAAGATTATTATGGGATATGAAGAAGTATTTTATGGAATTTGGTGGTACATGTAGGGAACCTTGAAGCAAATTGGACCGTAAATCAATAGTAAGTACAGTCTGATGTGGAATTGAATCTACACTTATCAACATAATATGTGATATGTTAAGATGTTCCAATGAAACCATCCGGTTAGACCATTCCCCAATCAGGAATTCTTCCTTGAATCTTATTGTTCGAAAGATCTAACTCCCCAAGCTGCTTTGAGGATCTTAGAAACTCCAATTCTTTCACTTCACATGAAGCTAATTCTCACGAATAAAGTGATTCGGACCAAGTAAAATTAGCTTTCTTCTCATTGATCAATGATATATCACTATAGGAAAGACTAAGACTCAAAAGTTGTTAGGTTTGAAAATAAGTTTATATCCACATTCCCACTAAAATTATTGAAGGAAAGATCAAGCCCTTTTAGTTGGGAAGATGACCTTGCAGCTGATTATTTCCTAATGCAATCCAGACTAGTGAATTGGACTTGAAATCCTCAATCTGACCAGAAAAGTGGTTATTACTCAAGTATATGAAACATAGTGACGGAACGGATAACATCCAAGATGGTATTCCATTCAGGGAGTTATATGCAAAGTACAAATACTCTATGTGGGTGAGATTCAAAAGAGATTCAGGAATATACAAGCCACAAATAATACAACGAAGTTAGGTGATAGCCAAGAGACTCGGGCAAATTATCAGAAATATTCAAATAACTGAGATCTAACTCTATGAGAGATGCACTGCTGTTCGATTTGGTCTTTGGAAAATAACCACTGAGTTGAATGTTTTTCAATAACTGAAGCATTTCCAAGTTTGGCAGGTGAAAAATACTCTCAGGTATTATCCCATACAATCCTGTATTTGGCAGCCTCAGAGTTGTGAAATGAGAAGAAAAATTCAGAGGAATGGAGGAAGAGATGTTTATAGAAGTAAGATCAAGCTCTATTAATTGGGTCATGTTCTGAAGGAGCAATTTAAAATCTTGAGCAATGAGTCATACATAAAAATAGAGATGAAGAAACTGCAACTTGGAAAGATGAGAGATTTCAGAAGGAATTTTACCTGAGAAATAAGAGGCAGAAAGATCAAGATGTGTCAAGCGTGAAAACTTACTGAATTCAGGGGGGATATGAGAATTGGAGAAGTTATTCGAAGAAAGATCAAGCCTTTGGAGATGAGAGTTGGAATAGACTGCTATTGGAAGCAATGGTCCCAACAAGACCGCTACAGCCGAGGTCAAGCTCAATAACATGGCCAGTCATGTCATCACATATGACTCCATCCCATGAACAACAATCTCTGCTCATGTTCCATGAACTTGTTTTTGGATAATACTTCTGACAAAAAGAAAAGAGTGAGGAATCTATAGTAAATGACTGCTTGAATTTTAGAAGGGAAATGGTTTGACATTTGTGAGAGAGATGAGGTAATATGGATGAAGAAACAGTAAATACTTCATGAGGAAGGAAGACAAGTAAGTGCACAATTACATAGCCATCTTTAGCTTCATAAACTAGATAAGTATGCAACAAAGGTATGCAAATATATAGGCACGTATTTGTTTGTCCAAGTCGAAATTGGATTGCACAAATATTAATTTAGTCATGATTTTTTCTTATAAAGTAAAAAGAAAATAATATTTTTGTAAACTAAGTCCCCTAATAGAGGCTATGGAGCTGAGTGAAGATGATGACTGAGGTGTGTTGGACAGCACAAAGTGTGCAGCCTATCTCACATTTTTTGGTTAACTTTTGCTATTCAATTACTATAAGTAATTGTTAAAAAAGAATAATAATAAGAGTTGAAAATAAAAGATTTGGTGGTTGGCGAATTGATAAAATTTGAAACCCTTGTTTTGACTTTGCTACATTTACCTATGTCATTAATGACATAGATACGATTTGCTCATTTTATAAATAGAGCATTCTTGCTCATTTGTAAAATAGACCAAGTTAGAGAGAAAAAATCATTTTGAGAGCAAAGTGAGGTACTCTATAGACTATACAAGTCATTTTTAGAGCAAAGTGAGGTATTCTATAGACTATGCAAGAAAATAGTCTGTGAAAAAAATTAGAGTATGAACGATACTTTAGTAAGGTGGAAACCAAAAGAGTGTTGTTCCTTTTGAGTGTGTAGTAGTCACTTTGCATATTGTATTCGTGATTGTACGGTGTAAAATTCCTTCTTATAGTGATATCAGTTTCTCCTCTTGCCCTGTGATTTTTCCCTTATTTAGAAGGATTTACAAGTAAAATTCTTAGTCTCATTATTTTCCTATTTTATTTTCATTACTTACCATATATATTTTTGTAGTTATCCGCATTTTCCTAACACAAAGGACACAATCAGGGCATAATACTACTTGTCAAACTTGCTTTCTTAAAGAAAGCATAACAATAATTTTATTCCGCAATATAATTATTTCTATATTCCACCTTGACCCCATAGTAAATTAATTTTGATAGCGACTGAAAAACAATAGAGAAATCAATTTTTGTTATTTTCAATTCGATGCACAAGTCTTGCTATATAAATTTCAGAGAAAATTACATTACACAAATTTCATCCAATTTGGTGAAAAATTCCAAAGCTTGCAAAAAGAAAAAATAGGAAACAAACAAACCAAAGCGAACTACTTTTCCGTTCAAGAGCCAGAAAATTCTTACACTTTGATTCAGACATTTATTTATGTGGAACCATTTCTTATTTTTTGGTGGGACTTTTTTAATCAAGCATATGATTCTCGAAAGGGGAGGTTCAACGTAATTGGGAGCCTAAAGCGAAATTTTATTTTGCGTCCTTAATTATAAATTCACTTCATATAAATATTTATTCAAAAAAAATCATTACACTATTTAGATGAAAATTATTAGTACTGAATATTGTTTTTTCAGTTACTAATTTTAGGTAATATTTATCAACTCAACATTCAAGAACATAATTTAAGTTAGACAATTATTATACGTTGATAAATATTAAGTAAAGATAAGAGTTAAAATCCTAGAATTTGACTCAAAAAATTGATGACTTGATATACCTCATTTTAATATGCTTAGAGTAATGCTTGAAACTAAAATTTAAAATGAAAAAAAAATAAATTGTAATTCACTTTGTTCAACACTTTTTACTATTAGTTCTTACTTTTAACAAAGTAAAAAAAATATTAAAATGGATAAAACAATTTATTTTTAAAAAATTATACACTTTATCATAAATACTTAATTTTTACATAAAATTTTTTTAACATAAAATATTTTCTTTACATAAATTTGGGGCCCCAATATTTGGGGGCCGAAGGCAAAGGCTTTTATTTTTAAAGAATAGAGCCGACCCTGATTCTCAAAAAATTAAACGTGACTAAGTCAAAATTCTGAGGTGTGTTGGACAGTACAAAGTGTGGAGTCCATCTCATAATTTTTTGGTCAACTTTTGTTATTCAATTGCTACAACTAATTTTTAAAAACTAATAGTAATATTATTTGAAAATATAGATTTGGTTGTTGGCAAATTGATAAGATTTGCAAACTTTTTTTTACTTTACTACATTTATCTATGTCATTACTGAAATAGGTATGATTTTCTCCTTCTATAAATAGAGCATTCTTGCTCATTTGCAGAACACACCAAGTTAGAGAGAAAAATCATTTTGAGGGGAAAGTGAGGTATTCGATACACTATACAAGAAAATAGTTTGTGAAGAAAAATACAGTGTGACCGATATTTTAGTAAGGTGTAAACCAAAAGATTGTTGTTCCCTTTGAGTGTTTAGTAGTCATTTTGAGTATTGTATTTGTGACTATACGGTTTAAAATTCCTTACTATAGTGATATTAGTTGCTCCTTTTGACCCGTAGTTTTTCCCTTATTTAGAAGAGTTTCCACGTAAAATTCTTGGTGTCATTATTTTCCCATTTTATTTCATTACTTTAACTATATGTATTTTTGTGTTTATCTGCATTTTTTCAAAAAATAGTGGTATCAGAGTCAATGTTTTATCTAAGTATGCTTTGTGGTTGCAGCACAGTCTGAACTTCTACATCAAAAAAATTACTTTGGTTTGCGATGATTACGTTTTGGGGGAAAACAATGGAAGTCAACACAAGTAAATTATTACTTTGAATGATGTTAATTTGTCATTTGGAAGGGGAAAATGGAAAATATGTTTCATGTTAAGAATTTTTACAAATTAGTATTTACCACTATAAAGCTTGATAAGAAAACAGATGAACATTGGAATCTGTTGCACAGACAGGTTTGTGGGTTCATTAGGAAATGGGTCGACGATAATGTGTTGAATCATATTTCTGGGGAAACACATGCTCGAATTCTATGGGAGCATCTTGAAAGTTTGTATGCTAAGAAAACTGACAACAACAAAATGTTATTAATAAAGCAAATGGTGAGTTTAAATTATCATGATGGTTCTCCTATGACAGACCATCTGAATAATTTTTCGGGATCATGAACAAATTATCTGCTATGGGCATCAAATTTAATGAAGATATTCAAGTCTTGCTTCTACTTGGTTCACTACCAAACTCTTGGGGAACATTTAGAACTTCATTGTCAAAATCTGCTCCGGATGGTGTGATCTCTATGGATTCCGCCAAGAGTAGTGTCTTGAACGAAGAGATGAGAAGAAAAACTCAAGGTTCTTCGTCATCGGATGTCTTGATAACTAGCCCCAAGGGGATAAATAAAACTCGTGGTTCTCAATATAGAGAAAAAAATAGGAGCAAATCCTGAGGCAGACTTAAGGATATTGAGTGTTATCATTGTGGCATGAAAGGACACACAAAGAAGTTCTGCAGGAAGTTGAAGAGGGAGAACAAAAACAAAGAGGAAACTAAAGAAGATGGCAATGAAAATTGCCGAGCCACCGTTACCACCAAATATCTTGTTATCATTATTAATGCGCATATGATAAATATTTCTTGTGATGACTCAAGTTGGATTGTGAACATTGGTGCCGCATCACATGATATGACATCAAGGAAGGATTTTTCTTTTCTTTAACTCCTGGTGATTTTGCGACCTTGAGTATGGGTAATGAGACTGTTTCTAGGGTGATTGGTATTGGTACAATTTGTTTGGTTACTAGTATTGAAACTAAACTAGCTTTGAGCAGTGTGAAACATGCTTCTGATGTTAATCTGCACCTAAGTTCTGTTGGTGTTTTAGATGATGAAGGATATGTTAGTACCAATGGTGATGGAAAATGGAAGTTCATTAAGGGTTCCTTGGTTGTGGCTTGTGGTAACAAACGTTGTGGTCTATACTGGACTATGGCATCTGCTGGTGTTGATATAATGAATGTAGTTGAGAGAGATAACTCTTCAACTTTATGGCAGAAGAGACTTAGCCACATCAGCGAGAAAAGGACTTAATATTCTATCCAAGAAGAAATTATTGTCAAATTTCAGAAGTGTTATATTAGAAAAGTGTGATCCTTGCTTGCTTGGTAAACAAAATAGAGTTTCCTTCAAGTCCTACCCCCTTTCGAGAAAGACATTGTTTCTTGAGTTGGTGCACTCTGATTTATGTGGTCTATCGAAGACAAAGACATTGGGTGGTGCACTCTCTTTGTCACTTTCATTGATGATTGCTTGAGAAAACTTTGGATCTATGTCTTAAAGACTAAAGCCTAAGTTTTAGTTGTGTTCAATCAGTTCCAGGCTTGAGTTGAAAGAGAAACTGGAAAAAGCTGATGTATTCTACTTATAATGCTGGTGAATATTATGGACCATTTGACGAATACTGAAAGCATCAAGGTATTAGACACCAGAAGACTCCTCCGAAGACTCCTCAGCTTAATAGTTTGGCTGAGAGGATGAAGAGGATCTTGATGGAAAAAGTTGGATGTTTTCTTTTTGAAGCAAATTTGTGGAACTCTTTTTGGGGTGAGACTTTATTGACTGTTGTACATGCACATGTTATTAATCTATCTCATGTTGTTGCTTTGTAAAGTGATATATCAAATAGTGTTTGGTATAGAAAGGATGTTTTCTATGACTATTTGAGAGTATTTGGTTGCAAAACTTTTGTACATGTGCCGAAAGATGAGAGGTCAAAGTTAGATGTCAAGACAAGGCAGTGCATCTTCATTGGATATGGCCTCGATGAATTTGGTTACAACTATATGATCCAATTGAGAAAAAACTTTTGAGAAGTCATGATATTATTTTCATGGAGAATCAAACAATTGAAGATATTGACAAAGCAAAGGAGATAACATCTTCAAGTTTTGATGGTATACTTCATCATGATGAAGTTCCTGGCACAAGTGTGCATGATGTTGTTGGGTTTGATGATCATGGTGATGCCCATAATCATGCATCGGATTAACATGTTGATGTTGGTAATAACAATGATATTATTATTTAAGATCCTCCTGCTCATGATGTTGTGGATGAATCAAATATTCCGCTTATGGTCCACAAGACAGTGGTTTCCTTCCTCTCGTTATTCACCAAATGAGTATGGATTACTCACTGATGGAGGAGAACCTGAATGTTATGAGGAGGCCATGGAAGATAACACAAGGATCAATAAATTGAAGTCATCCAAGATGAGATGAAGTCTCTGCATGATAACCACACTTATGAGTTGGTAAAATTGTCAAGGGGCATAAGAGTTTGAAAAACAAGTGGGTGTTAAAAGTTAAAGTTGAAGAACAAAACTTGAAGCTCAGGTACAAAGATAGAT